GCCAGTGGCTGCTGCAGCTCCAGCCCGGAGCTCCGACCCAGCATGATGCTAACAATGCCAGGCAGGTCCAGAGGAGGCATGCTGCTGCTCCTGCCAGGACACTAAGCACTACAACACCATGGTATGGACGCAGGAAAAGAAAAGAAGGGTAACCGTTGGCTTAAAGCAGCGGTTCTCAACCTGAGGGTCGCGACCCCTTTGGGGGTCGAACGACCCTTTCACAGGGGTCGCCTAAGACCATCAGAAAACACATATATCATTACATATTGTTTTTGTGATTAATCACTATACTTTAATTATGTTCAATTTGTAACAATGAAAATGGGGGTCACCACAACATGAGGAACTGTATTAAAGGGTTGCGGCATTAGGAAGGTTGAGAACCACTGGCTTAAAGGAATGAAAACAATCAACAATGGCGAATCTTTAGGTAAAACCATTTTGGGGGGGTGGGGGGCAAGGACTACTAAAATCAAGATTCTGACTAGCTTCGAACCAATTCTCTTAGAAAGTGTAATTTAAAAAAAAAATTAAGCAGAAGCCTGGCCAGGGTCACCAGGTGGTTGAATATTGACCTATGAACCCGGAGGTCACGGTTTGATCCCAAGCAGGGCACACGCCTGGGTTGCAGGCTTGATCCCCAGTAGGGCGTGTGCAGGAGGCAGCCAATCAATGATTCTCTGATTCTCTCTCATCACTGATGTTTCTATCTCTCTCCCTTCCTCTCTGAAATCAATAAAATCTACACTAATAAAAGAGAAACATGGTAATTGGCGTACGACCGCTACCCTTTTCATTGGCTAATCAGTGAGTATATGCAAATTAACTGTCAGCCAAGATGGCGGCCGGCAGCCAGGCACTGAAGCGAACAGGAAGGCTTACTGGCTTCAGTGACTGCGGACTCCAACGCCTAACTTGCCAGCCTCTCAGTTGCAACTCTAAGCAACTATATACTATGTTGCAAATAAGAAGCTAAACAAAACCCCAGAAAAGGGCTTCCATTCAGCCGGGCTCGGACCACAACATTGTATCTATGTTTTCAGCAGCGAGGCCTCAGAGCTAAAGCTGGCCCAGAAAAAAAAAAAAAAAA